GTTTGCCGCTAAGCGTTGCCGTGTTCCCCATCGCATATCAATCTCTCGTCGGCGGCGGGCAACTCGGGTGGCGTATTAGTCAGAGCCTCGGGACAAAAAATTGAATAGCAACAATTCAATTGGCGATAAGGAATTGTGCATAATTTTATTTAATTTACGGCTTGACACTCGCCGCAGTTCGTCATCGGTTTTCGGTTATTTGGTGGGTTTTACTGCCTGTGACCCCTTGTCTTTCGATCAAATGTCAGGCGGCAACAGAAGTTGCAACTGCAGCAGCGGCAGCAGCAACAGATATTGCAACTGCAGCAGCCGCACCTCTCGACCATTGTCATCGCCATTGTTGGTCGAAAAAGTCAAGAAACCGCGGCTCTGAGTCTTATTACCACTCAGAGCTGTCATTAGGCCAACATGTGGCGGCCACTGAACCACAGCAGCAGCGGCAGCACCACCCCTTTTCTGCACCACCTTTAATGCACCACCACCCGTGACAAAGCCACAATGGCTGGGTGACGCAGCTGAAATCAATGCTGTAAGTAAGGCCCCCTGGACTTCGCCTGAAAAGGCTGAAAGGCCATTCCCGATCGTCAGCTGCCGTCCGCTTTTCTGTTTTCTGGCCAACTTCCGCCAGCTGATGCAGTGCGACTCCGGTGGTAGATGGTCGTCGCTGTTTAAGCTTCCGATTCGTGCACCTGACTCAATCGCCAAGCAAACAAATGAGGTGAAATCATTAGGGGCTCTAAATATGGAAATTATTATCCAAGGAGTTGTAGTAATTTTTATGAATTTATTAGAAAATAAATCTATAAGTTACAAAAGGTTTTAAATAAAGTTTAATAAATAAAGTTTAATAGGAGTTTGAATATTATTTTTAATTTTTATGGGCAGTTGGGGATTAAGGATTCGGTTTTGTGGTGTTTGCAGAACAAATGTTTTGCTGCATACTTTTTGAGTACCGACTTTCCTTTCATTTTTCATTCCAGGGTGGAGGGCATGTCCCCCAAATCTCCCCCGTGAATCTGGGCATTTTGGGAATCATTTTCCTACTAAATAAAGTTTATAATATTTTGTACTTTATTATTTTTAATTTTTAAAAAATTGCAAAACAACTTAGCTAGTTTCTAAATTATTTTTAAAATTATTGTTTAAGTAGTCACTTACCTTATAACCGAATGTTCCTTTTAAATATTTATGATAATAATTTTAGTATCTATAAAGGACCTAATGTATTCCCAATTTTTTCACTACAAAATAATTTCAAATTCTAAATTAATATTACTATTATTTCCCTCACAATTGTGCTTCTTACATATGTTTCCCCGTACGACTTGGCAACTCCGACATCAACTTGGTTTCCATTTCCTAATTCGCGTGGAACTCTCACCCAGTTTTTCCGCTTTTCCCCCGCTTTTCGCCGCCGCAAAGACAGATGGCCGCTTCAATTACACAAAAGTCAGTCGGTTTTTGATTCCCCGTTAACCCCTTGCAGCCCCACCTCTTCCCAGGCTTAACCCATGGAAAAGTTGCTGAGCCGTGTCCGCGTTGCTTTTATACGTATATATATTTCAATTTGAATTTGTATTTGTGTTTTTTCGCTGGCGTTGGTGTCTTGACTTTGTTTTAGTTTTCAGTTTGCCGGTTTTTTGTTGTATTTGTTGTTTAGCGAAACAGGTGCGTTTTGCGTTTTGCAGGTGTTTCCCAAAAGCCACCACCACAACAACAAAAGCAACAACAACTACAGCGGTCGCGGACTGTTTAGTAGTTACGCTTTACCGCTAGTTACACAAATTGCCATCAAGTATTACCGCCTTCTTCTCACCCCCTAATAAAAAACACCCCCTCCTCTGCATTTTAACCAGGGGCGCCAGTTGCTCATGCGCATTGTATTTCGTGTGAAAATCACAATTAAATGCGATTTTTATGCGCACCTCGCCAAAGTCGTCGGCGCTGTGTTGATTGTGGTTTAGCTTTCATTTCGGAGACCTCACTTGGGGCGGGAAAATAAAGACACTTAACCCTAGAAAAATCAATAGTTTAATAAGCCTATTTTCTCACGTTTCATAAAATACATAGTATATTTTAAAACCATCTATAAGCTAAAACAAACCTTCGTTTTTAAACGTAAGACCGACATATTTGTCAATATTTACCGAACGTGCTTAGGAATTCAAAAACATCATTAGGCAGGTATTTCAAGTACCCAAAATCAATAGGTTGACACATTCAGCAGTTAAGTACCTACGTTAAAATTTCAAAGCACAAAAAAAAAATAGTATTGTATAATATAAGACATACCATATCATATCTTATATTTTATCATGAAATATCATATCATTAAGAGGTTAAAAATAAATCACTAAATCATACAGAAAAAAAATATTAATTTTATCTAAATGGCTTTGCAAATGATGAAGTAGACTCGTTAATGGATGTGACTTTTGAAATCCAACTAAAGAAACACAAGATTAGGCCGAGATATGAGCGGATAAGTTCCTTAATCCTTTCCATAATCCCCCTGGGATCTCAAGGGGTTAAGCTGGGAGTTCGACTAGCTTCGTTTAACACTCGGCAGCGGGATCTCGGCTGGTTCGGGCTCTCAGCTCTCAGCTGTCAGCTGCGTGGTTGGAAATGTCAGCTTGACAATTATTATGTCAAAATTTTCCGGCACGGCCATTGGAAGGCTGAGCTGAACTGAGCGCCGAGGCGACGGCATTCGCAATCGCGCGCAGTTGCTGCAGCTGTTGACTGCTACACGAGTTTTTATGGTAATTCAAGTTTCACTGATTTCTCGTCTCAGCGCAGTCGCACCCAAAAAAAAAAAAAAAACAGCCACAAAAATCATTACATGAGAGAAAACCCGAGACTCGAGACTGCGAAAACAGCGACTAAGGTGAGCGCACTAATTGTACCTGGCCAATGGCTCAAATCGCAGACCCCAAAGCTCTGCAAACAATTAGCGCATACCAGACTTTGGTTCGGAATCAGAGATCATTGGCCCCCAGAACGGGGCGACGTCGAATAAAACGCACCGATACAGAGAGAAAAATTGGGATAAATATTTATTTTAATTAAAAAGAATGATATACATTAGAATTTTAGAGGTCTTGGAAAGTAAATAACCTTTATAAATGATATACCCAAAAAGGTGTGTCAAAAGGCCCGCGGGCCTTGTAACACTTTTGAGAGTGTCATAATGCCCTTTCAAAAATATATTGTTAAATATATTGAGAGTTAAAACATTATATTGGATTCTAAACTATAAACTATTTATCTTTAAATATTTCTACAATTTTTCAGTGTGCACTATGAATGTCCCCCCAATGCATGTGAGCCCCGCGTTGCTTATGTTTCTTTTCCCATTATTTCCCATTTGCCTGGGATTTTAGTTTAAGCGGCAGTTCATACCCTAACAAGAAAATAATAATGCGGTTTGGTGGTAATGGAATGGGGAGTTTTTTTACGATTAAATAATTGCTCAATTAATGCCAGGCTATGTAATAAATTGTACTTTACCAGAGATCTGTCAACGAAGATATTTCAAAAATGTAGCATCTATAAAAATATGTATTTCAAAAGATGTTGCACTAAATAAATCGGTCAAAAATATTTCTTGTTTTAAGCAACTGTTAAATTTAATATTTAAGATTCGAAACATACATACCATACTTTATACTTTGTAATAATTTTTAAAATATTTCTTAATTCAAATAACTTTTAATTTAATATAATTCAAAGAGTCTCTATATAATTTCCATATATTCAGCATTTTAATATTGTTTATAATTTTAGACTTTAGACTTTTTAATGTACAAAAATATTTAAAATATATTAAATTAACCTTGAGTTATAGTTATAATTTACCTGTTTTTGAGGGCTCTCTAAAGAGCATCCCAGATTTGTGGCCTGTGAGGAAAAGCGCCCCCTAAGCTGTTTTGAAAATGTTTCCCCGCTTTTCCACTGGGCTACGATCCGAATTGACATTTGAATGGGGCGGCTGGCACCGAGTGCTCCGAGTTCCAAGTTCCGAGCTCTGCTCTATGCTCCGATCTCGAAAACAAACCCGAGACCATAGTCGCAATTGCCAATTGGTCAGTGCATTGTAGTTGCAATCATTAACGCTAATAGGCCAGCAGATAGCGGGAAAGAGAGGGAGAGAGCGAGCTGTGGATTGTGGGAGTGGGAGGGCAGACAGCTGCGGGCAAAAGAAAAACCCAAAAAACCAAAACTAAATCCACACCCAAGTGGTCAGAAAATGGAAATAAAAGGAAAAACAGGCAGGCCAAAGTGAAGGAAACTTTTCTCAACGGAAATTTTCCGTCCGCAATTCGCACACGTGTGCAGGTCTAAGGCCTAAGGGCCATTTTACCTGGGAAAATGGGAAAACCCAAACCCCTAATGACAAAGGCGGCGGCTGCGTGAGAAAACTCGCTCGTCCATGGAATTCTGGTATGGTATATGGTATGGTATTATCATCCACCGTATTGTTCTGGTAATTCGTTGCACTTGTTTACATGGGAAATGCTTTTCCAGCTACTTGTCTTCAGGTAGTTACCAATAATTCTGGTAGTTTCTAGTAGTAATCCCCCCTCCCCAGAAGAAAATCCATTCGTATTGATTGATTTTTAATATTTTTTAATTTTTGCAATTTATTAAGAGCTAATTTTTGTTTTTTTTTTTTTAGATATATATTTTTTCGCATCATCATCAAATGTTTTTTCTTGTTTTTCTTTTACATCATGATAGAGTGTTTATACCATCGAAATGGGAACAAATAATGTTTGTAATTTCGATTGCGGATCATAAATCATAATTAAAAAATCGCATAATTATGCTAAAAAAACACTTTGTACAAAGTATGCTACAGATCACAGAACATATATTAATATATATTTATAGGTTTTAGTGTATATCTGGTAATTATTATAATGCATTATACGTTAATTCGATTACAAAAAAGAGGAAAACGATCCAAGGGACTCGGAAAAACTACAAAATGAGGTGTGTGTGTTTTCTTTTGTTTTCTGCGTGTGAGTGAAAATTAGTGCCTGGAAATGAGAACTTTCTCAAGACTTAAACACTAAACGTATCCTCGATCGATATATAAATTAATGATTTTGAATGTGTGTGCTGCTGAGTTGGTTGTGGTTCTTGTTATTTATTGGCTGTGGCTAATCAATAATAGGAAAAGTTCTTCATTGATTAAAATTAATAGGAAAATCATTTGGATAGAAATCATACAAAATTAAACGTAATTCCAGTTTTGTTGCCTGTGCATTTTTCTTTTGTTTTCATTTTATTGCTGATCTCTGTTTGCTTTGCATTAGTAACATTTTTTTCTTGCGTTGTTTTTAAACCAAAACAAAACTAAAATTAGGAAAACAAAAATATATATGTGCTTTAGTTTAATTTCAAGCGTTAAAGGAAAAATTAAATTGTTTAAAGCTTTGCCAAGTTCTCTTCTTCTTATTTCATTCATTCTTAAGCGCCATCCTAGTGTTTAATGTTTAATTAATAATCATAATCATAATGTTTACTTGCTTACGATGCTCTAATGCTAGGTTTTTGTGTTGTTGTGTTTCTTTCTTGTTGTTTATTAAATGTTTAAACTAAACTCTGTCGAGCCAGAAGCGAGATCTCATTTTCCGCGGATTTTCATCCCGGGAAAAGAGACTTTGAAGAGATGCGCCTGGACTGCAGTTTTCTTGAGAGTTTCACACGTTATTTAATATGCGGAGATCTTCACACGAAGGTTGCGAGTGGAGTTTTGACTGTACTTTAATTATGCATTTAGTTAATAAGTTTATATAGGTTCCGTGGGTTTTCCCGGCTTACGACTGCCTGCTGTCTTTCTCCGCATTCAGTGGCTAAAAAGAGAGAGAAGGGGGAAATTCCAATTAGTATTTTATATTTATGGGTGATTGGAGTACAATAATTTGTTTATTAGCTGTGTTTATTTCGCCATTCTATGTTATCAATTAATTCTCTGTTCTACTGATTGTTTTGCTTTTTTCTACATTTTGTTTTGGGACACTCGATGAGAGGATAGGATGATGATGATGTCGATGAGTCGAGGGGATGAGGCAATAAAGAGGCGCCAAGAAAATCAAACGAGCTGTCACTGAGCTTTTGCTTTGTACTTATTTGAGTTCTTAGACACTAGGAAAAATAAGGTTTTATAGAAAATCTATTTTAAAAAATTTTAGAAGTTTTTATAAAATTCTTATATTTTTTTATATAAACTCTGGGATGTTCTTTTAGTGAAATATTTAATATTCCCCAGTTGAACATAACCAAGATCTTTAAGATATCTAATTTTTCCCCAGTGTCTTATGTTCTCTTCCTCTCTTTTCCTACTCTTACTGCGAGGGGGCGGGTATTCAGAGGGGGCAGGATCCGTGGGGGGAATACAATGTAGAAAGCGACCGACTGGCGACTGGCGCACAGCTGCGCGAAAAAAAAAAAAAATTCAGAAAAAAGAAACAGCAAAAACAACAGAAAACAACCCACAGAGAGAACATTTTGAACACGTGCATTTCTTTTTACAGTTTTCTGAGTGCCCCCATGTGTTCTCGAATGTGTGTGTGCGTGTTTTCGAAAGAATTCTCAGATTGTTGTTGTTGTTGAGGTGGTGACACATCATACAAACACAAAAAAATATATATGTTTGTGGGTTGCAGATGTTTAGCAACAAAAATAAAAAAATTACGCACCAAATATCAGAAAACGACCCACGCAACGAGTTCAAACCCACCCATAAAACTCAAGCCTTTTACTGTAAAGTGAAAAAAGGGTTTCCACCTTCATAATTAATCAACAATTGACCATCGAAAAATTAATAACACCTGACGGCGGCCACCCAGTCGAACATTTGTTCGAAAAACCCATTGAAAAAAGCTTTTTGAACCTGTTTTTACGTAGGTCTTAAACAAATTTTTTCGCCAGCATCATTAATAACCCAAAAAAGAGAAGAAAAGAAGCTGAGCGCTAATGAAGTAAGGCAAAAAGACGAAATAAAATATAAATACGAAGACTGATGATTCCCCAATTTCAAATTCCGTTTTCAAGCTCGCATGTGCGTGTGTGTGTGTATGTGAAATAAATTTAAGTATCTGCAGGTGTTCATTTAAAACATCACAACAACAGAAAAAGGCCGCGAGAAAAAAAATTAACAGCTACGTATAGGCAACACACAAAAGTAAGAAAACGATGGCGACAACAACCGCAAAACCCATACAATCGCCTGAGAGAAGACAGTCTGTGAAATGTCTATAAAAACGAAATGAATTTTTTTTTGGGTGAAGATGTAGGGGGTAAAGTCGGGGGAAGGTCGGCGCAGATTTATTGTTGTCGAAAGCCCAGTAAAGAATTTTCTCAAGATTCGCCAGAGAAATGGGCATCGTCCTTACTGAAAGAAAAACCGAACAACTCACACAAACATTTGTCAATCGCCTTATGAATGAGGTCACTCTCGCAAAACAAAAACAAGTAAAACCCAAACACTTTGACACTCAATTGTCTCCTATATTTGCAATGCAAATGTCAAACAGCTGCGGTCAAAATAATGGCACTCAACGAAAACCCAAAAAAAACTGCGGTCATAAATGGGGTTTATACCACTTTGGATATGGTTTTCCTTATCTTTGGTTTATGACTTAATTGCTGGGAGTTTTTAAAACTCATAAAATCTACAAGATTGCCTTGAAATTATTTTAGTTTTCATTTACAAAATGTGGTATTTTTTCAAATCTTGAGATTTGTAATCCTGAATTTTGGATTCTTATTATAAAACGGATAAAAATATCAACGTATCTAAAGTAGTTTTCATGTTATATAGCTGCTCATAATACTTCTTTAATTTTAAACTTCATTATAATCTATTTTTCAGAGCTCAAAACTTTTCTTGTAATTCCCTGATTTTTTCCATCTATTATTTCGACCTCCGCTGTGCTCATCTGCCCACTTCCTATTTTGAATATTTTAGCAATTTATTTCTCAACTCACCGTTGCTAAACTGTTGGACAGTTGCTGCTGTGATTGCAGTTGTTGCTGCTGCAGTTGCAGTTGCTGTTGCTGTTGCTGCTGCAGTTGCTGCTGTTGCGGATAAGCGGGCGCCACGAGGGTGTTGGGCGTTTGGCGATCGGCGAGCGGGAGACGGGCGGCGGGACTAGAGACTTTCGCCGGCTGTTCGGCGGCTAAACGCTGGGCTAGGATATCTGCGTCCACTTCCGTTTCCGCATCCGCATCCTCCACATCCGCATCCTCCATGTCGCTGTCCTCGTCCTCGTGCAGACCATTTACCGCCGTCAAAGCGGCCGCCGCATCGAAGTTTCCCATCTCGGGATGCGTTTCCAGTTCCGTCTGCAGATCGCAAATATAATCGATGACGTGCTGGATGATCTCTAGTTTGGTCAACTTTCTATTCTTGGGCATGAAGGGCACCAGGTCCTTGAGCTTGGACAGGTACATCTTCATCTCGGCATTCTCCCCATCGCCGCGATGCGTGGGGTGGCGCGAGATGCGCCCGCTGGCATTCAAGGCCGGCATTCCGGAGGCACCTGTCTGGCAAACGGCCGTCAGGGACTTCATTCTCGAGATGATCGCTTTACGCTCCTTGAGTAGAATCTTGGCGGTTATTACACGGTCGTACCGGATTACTTGCGAGTATACTGTTTTATTTTAGTTTTGATTTGGGTTTAGATTTGGCTTTATGTGCGCTCACTTCACTTTGATTTTTTTGTAGTAGTTTAGCTCACTCTCTTTTTCTCTGTCGAAGTTCGAAACGAAACACTTTAATCCAGCGTGTTTTTCTGCGTTTGCGTTTTCGATTTCTATATCTTTTTCAGCGAAAAGTCGGCACACGAATGAGTGGTTCTCGCTCAGAGCGACCGCTTTTATACTCCCCCGAACGCGGGATATATATGATTACCCACCCGAAGAGCGCCGAATAGGCGGAGTCTTTGCTATCGGCTTTCGTCGGCTGGAGAGAGTGGGGTGGTTGGAGAGAAGGAGAGCAGGAGAGACAGAGAAAGCGCGAGAGGGAGAGAGCGAGAGGCTGGGGAAAGTGCCTTCGCCACTCGAGAATCCACCATGTGGATATACATATTATGACCACGACTTGAAACCGGAATTTTGGAGAGGGGCAATGTAGAGTTTTCAAAAGGGTTCTGGAGTCTTTCAGAGGTTTTTGTGGAGGGTCTGAAATTAAGGAGAAAAATGTTTTTTTTTTCAATATCAACAGTTGAATCTTTAGAATTCAACATGAGAATGAAATACATTTCAAGAGGGGAATTGTAGAGTTTTCAAAGGTCTTTCAGTTTTTGGAGAATTTGTGGATTTTAATTAAATAACACACCATGGTGATGAGTATACAAATTCAAACCGAAGTTTATCTTTGGAGGGGAAATCGTAGGAGTGGAGAATACACTACATATTAAAGACTCCACACTTAAGGAACCCAAGTTACTGGAAATGGGAAAATGTGGAGCTTGAAAGATCAGAAACAAACATTGTGAAATAGTTAGCGATTTATCAGAATAGGCCCAATATTTATTTTTAAGTTAATTTCCAGATCTATTCCATAATATTCAGTCTTTGGGGGAAAAGCATCTCATTTTAGAATACCGAATAATGAGGACTGTAATGTTTGGAACATCTAAAGAATTTAAGAATTAAATTAACTATTTTGCGAATACCTCAGGTTCCAAACTTTATATCTCATAGGTTCCAAAACCCGTGAGCCCCAACATCCAACCAGTTGACTTCCACTTCAAGACCTTAGCTCTCAACAAACGAATAGAATCCTGCTTCCCTTACCACAAAATCCAATCCACAAGATCCAATCCAAATCCCGAAACTACATGGGTAGACTTTGGTGGATAGCTACCACAATTTCCCCTGCATTCCCACCACTGTCCACATATATTCACCTCTGTATACCCGGCTTTGCCAGTTGCTCTCCCGAAAAGTCTCCAATAAATCGGAAAAATCTCCACAAGATGCAGTATGCTCGGGTTTTTCAATGAGGGGAAATGGTTTTGTGATTGGTCGGCTGCCTTTCTCAGCTAAACTGAGAAAATACGAACATTAATTCTCGCTCAATAATTTTCCAACTCTCCGGATCTCTCTCATTTGTTTGCAATGTTTGTTTTTCTTTTTTTCATCTCATACTTTGTGAATGAGCATGAAAATGAATGAAAAGTGTTTTGTGGGAAAAGGAGGTTCCACAATCAACACAAAAAGGCGAAAAAAGACAATGCGAGCGGCTCAACGAGGGCTTGATTAATTACGGAATGAATATTAAATTTATTCATGGGTAAATTAGATTGAAATCTGCGAAGGATGGGGAAATCTTGCTTACGAGAAGGTTGGATATTATATTAAAAAATATTTATAGAAAACAATTAAAAAAATTAAATTTGAGTTTCCTGAAAATTTAATTAAATTAATACAGAACACATCCAAATTATATTACATTTTTAAGAGCTCTAAGATAAACATAGCCATACATCTAAAATCAATAAAAATCTTTCTAAAAATGCATGTAAAATTTCCATACCAATTCACAACTTGAAAGATTAAACGGTAGTCTTTCAATTTGTCATATTAATTTCCAAGAAAGATAAGCTTTCCTCGCCGCTATTCAATAGAAAACCAGTCGTTATCAATGGATTAACCAAATTCTTATTAACGAGTTTCCCAAGCAGCCAAATCGAAGCGCTCGGCTTATCTGAATCTTATCTTAATTTGGGTCTACGACATCTTGAACACTCATAAGTGTTCGAGGCGCCTCCCGACTTCTCTCCCACTCCATCAGCCATCGAAGAAGTTGCAGGGTTTCTGGGCAAGAAATTCACGATCATATTACACACACATGATAGGCCGGCGACGACGAACCGAACCGAACCCATTGAGGAAATTGTGGAAATTTTCATTGAAAATGAGCGGGCGCGTCGTTGTTTGTGAAAAACGACACGTCTCTGGTTATCGTCTGCGTTAGAAATGCTTTTGGTTTTTATAGGGCTGAACCGAATGGGAGATATATGAATGAATACACAGAAAGCTTCCATTTATTTTTCTTGGGCTCCCGTGCCTTTAATTACCGCGGTCCATTTGCAAGTTTCCCTGGAAACGCAGGCCCAGGAATGTCCCGAGAAATATTCCTGGAAATCGACAAGGCGACAAGGTGTTGCATGAAATACAACAGAAATATCCATGTTCCATGTCGAAAAACTAAACTCGAAAATAACGAAAAAATGCTGGCAAAAACCGCCACACAGTTCAAATTTCCCCGGGGAGCAGCGAGCACAAGGGTAAAAAATACCGATCATAATTTTATGACTCCAGCGCGGCCACGACTTCTCGAGATGAGATGAGGTTGAGATTTCCCCGTCTTCCGCGGGAGATTTCAGGAGACTGGAACTGAAACGGAGCTTACTTTACGACTTGCGAGTGTTTCGCCTGAATGACAAATGAGCAGCGCCGCCGAAGAACCAACAACAGGTTAAAAGCAGCATAAAATCTGCAAGAAAAATACTATAAACCCATGGAAATACAGAATTTAAATACTCTTCGGTCTCGAGGAAAAATCAATTAAAATCTGTAGTTTATTCTTTACATTATCATATACTATAATACTAAAATTCATTTTAGTCTTGCAATATTTCAGATACGAATTTCTATTATAAAGAAGTATGTAAAAAAATCGAGACTTGTTCCGATCTGCATATTTTAATTTAAAATATTTTTTTTATAGCTGCATAGCTTTGATACGATGATGATATAATATCCAATAGACCTTTCAGTTCGATATAAATGACACAATTTGGTTAAGTTAAGCATAATTTATTATTAAGTTGACAGAAACGAGCTGTTTTTAGCTATATCTTAACTATCTTGGCATAATGTAAGCCATATATTTATTTAAATACCCATTTAAAGTGTATTTAAAATAAAGAGAGGAGGGCAGAGATATTTGCAAGCCATAGAAACCTTGTTGAGGATGCGATGAAGATGAGGATCACATGTCAATCAGCGGGCGGGCACTTGCGGTGGAGCAACTGGTAGGTTTTTTTTGTTTTGGGGAAGGGGTAGGATTTTTTTATATATATATGATGGGATGGGGGGAACCCGAAGTATCCGAGAGATGGCGTTGCAGATATGCAGCCGCATGCCGCGCCGCGTGCATTGCATGTTGAAATCCAATACCCGTCACTCAGATACCCCCCTTAGCTTCGCGGATCCCGAGTCTCCCCAGTCTCCAATACGATCCGATCCGATCCCCATTGAAATCCCAGTCCCAGCCGAACTGATTCCATTCCAATCCCAGCTGAGGACATCTAGTTGCCATTAAAGGGGTGCTCTGCCCTGTCACTCTCCGGTGACATCCCATTAATGATTTCGCCTTGGAATTCGGAATTCGGAACCGTTTTCGTTTCGCTGCACCGATAAAAATTTATTTTAATTTTTTGCAGAGATCCGGAAAATAAAAATTGTATTTTATTTATTTGTTTTATATATATTTCGATATATTATAATAAATAGTTTCCAAGTTTTAGCTGCATTTTATATAACAACACATTTTTTTCCCAGTTTTTTTTTTTATTATTTATATTTTATTTTAAATACAATGTGTTTTTAGTTACATTTGTAAATTCCAAATTTATTTTTGTGCCAATAATATTATATCGATAAAATTCCAAGTTGTAGCTGCCTTTCTACGAACCAAATATTTTCCTATCATTTATTTTTCAGTGTCGTTTATTTATAAACATATTTTGCATATGGCCTGCGATGATGATTGGCGATTGCTGATCCAAGATCCAAGATCCGAGATCCCAGTTGGAGCCAAGGCTCCTTGCCTCGCACTTTATTTCACTTTGGCCGCATCCGGCCTCTGCCCATGGTATTTTTTTCAGGTTTGTTTAACTTGTTGTTGTCCGTATGGTAACTGAATACTAATTTCTTGGCAAAAAATCGAGAAATAAAAAACGTTTCATTGAGGCGTCGATGATCGCTGAGCTTTTGTTTACTTACTTCACTCCCGTCCCCTATTTTCCCTTTCTCTGTGCGAAACAATAAACTCAATTGCGTGGGAATGGGAACTGAAACAGAAATTTTGTTATTGTTTACGCATGGGTATAAGTGCAGAGCTTAGCTGAATTCCAGAATCGTAATGAGCCGATCGATAAGCTTATGGGTTTTGAGATACTGTAGGTCCCAAGACTAATCCGTTTATCCTTACAAATAAAATAACCATATACAGTTGTCCAATAATGAATTTATTTCAATTAACATTTTTTAATTACAAGAATTCGTCTATCAATAATTGGTTTTTAGCACAAATGTTTTAATAAGAAAGATTTCGTGGCTTAGTTGTACAAGCTTCTTCAAATTCTATAAACATTTCGTGGATTTTTGGGTTTTTGAGGATCTGTACTTCCTCTTTCGATACAATCAGGTCATCTTACCCATTGATTTCCTTTTGAAGTTCTGTACTAGTCGACGCTTTCTCTTCCTCTTCCGAGGATGAACTACTGGCATATAACTCATAAAAATCTCCATTATCGGAATTCGTTGAAGCAAAAGTGCCCAAATGTACGGCCACCAAGGCCGACGCTTTCTCTTCCTCTTCCGAGAATGAACTACTGGCATTTAACTCATCAAAAGCTCCATTATCAGAATTCGTTGGAGCACAAGTGCCCAAATGTACGGCCACCAAGGCAAAAACCAAAACAATCTGGAAAATATTTTAAAAAATTAATAGACGAACACTTTTTAAGATCGTTCCACTTACCAGTACTTTCATTGCGGTTGAATTTTCGAATGAACTAAAGCTGCAAAATGTTCGTATTTATAGGCAAATCAGAGGA